AATATAAATAAAAAAAGTAATTATTAAATATATATATATATATATATATAAGATTAACGAGCTTAAAAATTAATAATATTTAAAAATATAATAAATGTTAATATAAAGAATAATTAATTATTAATTACATTTTAAAAAACTAAATAAACAAAATTAAATATATAATAAGAATTTATATGGATTTATTATATAAATAATATATATAAAAAATAATTAATAAATAAATAAAACCGAATAAACAAAATAAAAATAACATATTATATTTAAAAATTAATAATCTTTAAAAAGAAAATATAATATATTGTTATAAAATTAAATAGCTTTATTAAAATATAAATAAAACCGAACCGCGTAAGTATTATTTATGCTAAAAATAAAAATAAAAATAAAAATTTCGTAACTAGTAAAAAATAACACTACATCCGCGTAAGTGGCTTAAAACGGCCTTAACCGCCGCGCATAAACATGCACTTCAAAAAAGGTGAAGGGGACTCTAAAACAAGTAAGGCGCCCCTTGATTTTAGGCGACTAATTAGTTAAATTACTCAGTTTTTAATGTAAAAAAGCCAAATACCAACATTATAACTGTAATTTTATAGTTATTACATTTTTAATTATTAAAAATTATTATTATTTGAACCGTTTTATTTAATTTTATATTTTAAAAATTAAATACTTTTTTTATATTAAATATTCGGTTTTTTAAAGCGTAATTTATATTATTTAATTAAGAATTAATATATTTATTATTATTTTTAAAACGTATAAAACTATAATTATATTTTATTTTTATATTTTTTTATATTAATTAACTTAATTTAATAACTAAAAATATTATTTAAAACTCGAATTAATTATATTATTACTTATAAATAACGTTATTTAAATATTAGTTTTTATTAATTATTAAAAATTTTTAATATTTTTAATATTATATTATAATAATAATTTAAAAATATATTTACGCGATTAATTATTATATTAAATTTCCGAAAATTTATATTTTATAAAGAAATTATAATTACTTAATATATTATTAATTTAAATAATTAGTTATTTTTTCTTGTTTTTATTATGTTATTAAAATGATAAATATTTTATTACGCGATCGTGATATAAAACGCGTTAAATAAAACTAAGTTTTTAATTTTATATAGTAATAAAAAACCTTTTAAACGCGTTTAAATAAATAAATCGATTATTAAAAAGCTTTTAATAAAGACTTAAATATATATCGAAAATAATATAAATTAATACGTGATATAATTACGAAGTATAATATTTAAAAGGAGAATATATATAATTTTAACGAAATAAAATTTATAATTAAAATAATTATTAAAACTAATATAATAATAATAAATATAAAACGATATAAATAATTATAATAAACTTAATAAAATAATCGAAAATAAGTTATAATTATTTAAATTATAAATATTATTAATTACTTTTTATTATTATATATTATTTTAATTAAAAAACATTTCGCTTTATAATATCACGATAATTTATTATTATTAAAAAGTAGAATTATAATATTAAATAATAATTAAATTATAAATAAACTTAATATAAACTTTATAAAGTATTTTTATAAATATAAAAAAAAAGAATTACGCGCTTTTTAATTTTAAATAGTCACGAGAGTTATTATTTTATTAATTTCGAAAATTATTATTATAAAAAATATCGTTATACTTTATATATTTAGTTATTTATTATATAAGTTTTAATTTTTTAATTTCGTATATTTTAATATCTTGAAATAAATATATAATTATTATTTATAAGGTTTAATAAACCGTTATTATACTTATATTATAAAGAAAGACTTTTTAACTAGTTTTATAAAAACTTTTATTATTATAATAATTATTTTAAATATATAAATTAAATTAAGTGTTTTAAAAAGTTAAAATACTTATAATAATTTATAAAATATTTTTATAATTTAATTATATTATAAATAAAGTTAAAAAGCATTAAAAAAGTTTTTTTATAAACATTATAAATACTTATAATTAATTTATAAAAACTATTTTAATATTAATATATAAAATGTTTTTATTATAAAATAAACTATATTTTTAATAAGCGATATAAAACTAAAAATAAGTAGTTACAAATAAAAAAATTACTTAGTATAAAAAAATGTTGGTAGGTACGTACATATATAAAAGCAAATAATAAAGCAAAGTAAATAAGGTGAAACGATGTGTATTAAGTTGTCTCTAGAGGGAACTATCTAGCTTGAGCCCGTGTGGGAAGACGGGTCCTTATATGGAGGAAGTACAAAGGTACTTCCATTTCTTAGGTGATTATCTAAGGTTCTGTTGTCCTACAGGACTAACAAAAAAAGAATAACTTTACAAATTAAAAAATAATAATATTATAATTAATAATAAAAAAGGGAAGCCTCGAAAAAAAGTAATAACTAAGTAAAAACGATATAATATATATAATTAATTTAGTTATAATATATATATTTATATAATAAATAAAAATATATCTAATAATTTAAATTTTAAGGAGTTATAATTATTTTTATTTTTATTTTTATTTTTAAAAGGCCTTAACTCGGAAAATATAATAAACTAAATACTTAATATAAAAAGGTATTTAATTTTTAAAATATAAAACTAAATAAAATAATTCTAATAATAATAATTATAAAATTTTGTTTATAAACTTGTTTTATTTACTCGCTTATATAATACGTTAAATTAAATAAAATTATAATTATAATAAATATATTTCGTTTTAACTTATTTAAATTTATTAATATTTTTAGTTAATTCTTTTTAAAGCGGTTTTAATATTTAGTTATAATAAAGGTTTATTAATTTAATTAATTAAACCTTTATTATTTTTAATTAGGTTTTTTTTGCGGTTTTTGTTTTAAGCTTTAAATAGTTTATTTAATTTTTTTAGCTTTTTATAACTAAATTTGTTTTTTATAAATATAACTAAGTTTATTTTTTTTATTTTTTTAATTACGATTAAAAAGTCTTTATTAGATTTAAATATATAGTTATTACGAAAATATATTAAGTTAAATATTTTTTAAATAAAATTATAAATAAAATCTTTTATAATTAAAGTTTATTAATATATATTTAAATATTAAGATTTTAAATTTTAATTAAATAATAAGTAATATTTTTATTATATTTTAAAGTTTTTAAAAGTTAAAAGTTTTAAAGGGTTTTATTAAATTATAAAATCTTTTTTTAATTAACTCGATATAGTTTTATTAAATATTTTAAATGTAAAAAGATTTTATATTTCAAATATAAGTTTAATATTATTTTAAAGCATAATTAATTAAAAAGAATTCGATTTATATAATTTTAATTTTATTGTTTTTAAAGATTTCGAAGTAGGTTTTAATAAATACTTATTAAAACTTAAAGGTTTATTTATTTAAAGTGCGGCTTATTTTTATAAATAAAGCTTTAATTAAAATAGTTAATAAAGTTGTATTTATATTAAATCGTTTATTTATAAATTTCTTAAAAAGGGGTTTTTACTTATATTTTATAATAAGCTTTTAAAAGATAAGTTAATTATAAATAAATGAAATATTCGTAGATTAATTAAATTAAATATAAGATCGTTAAATTATAAATTAAAGCGTAATATAATTATTAATAGCTTTTTTTAACTGTTTATAAGATTAATTTAATATTAACGAGGGTTTTATTATTATTATTAAAAAGCCTTAGTTATTAATTACTTTTTAAGTTATAATTTATATTTATTTCGCTTTATTTTAAGTTATTTCTTTAAAGCGAATATTTTAATTTATTATTTTTATGATAACTTTTTATAACGTGTTTTATATGCGAGTAAGTCATATAAACGAGTAAGCCACTTAATTTCTTATATAAAATCGACTTTTTTTAAAAAATTTTTTTATAACTTTGCACGTAAAAATCGTAAAAGTTTTAAACCTTTTTTATTTGTTATATATTTATAGGATTTAATTAAAAGTAAAATCGAAAAAATGAATTTTAAGAGACGTAAAAAAAAACGCGTAAAAACTAAAATTAAAATAAAATATATAAACCTTTTTACGTATTTCTTTATATATTTCATTTTTTTTAAATTTTACTTTTAATTAAACCTTATAATTATATAATTAATAAAAAAGATTCGAGAATTTTACGATTTTTATATGTAAAGTTATAAAAATTTTTTAAAAAAAGTCGATTTTATATAAAAAATTAAGTGGTTTATTTATTTATATAACTTACTCGCTTATAAAACATGTTATATTTTAATATTATTATAACTTTTAAATACGATATAACTAATTTTTATATTATCGATTTCATTATAATTAATAAAAAAATGAGTTATAAGCGATTTAACGTTTATAATTAAAATTCTGATTTTTATCTTGATAGTCGTTATACACCCGTGAATAATCTCTTTGTTCCTTATTCCGGATAACTCCTGATATTATATATAGTTATAGATATTAAGCTCGCTGACTTTAATATTATGATATCTTACGTGTGTCACGGCGATGCAGGTTAGATAGAGGCGTGGCTCCAGGGCCTGATGTATTGACTAGAATAATCAACTTGAAGAAAAAAAAAGGGAAAAGAGAAAGAGGGAATTAGTACCTCTCTTTCTGTACTAAATACAATAAGGTGGGATGTACGTGGGGTATTCGTCCAAGTGGTCCAAGTGGTCCATGCCGTGCCATCACAACGTGGTGGTGGTGGTATTTTTAACGTCCAGTGCAGACCGTACTATTTAATTTCGTTTAATGCGAACCGTGCTATTTAGTTTCTAGCCTTGACTTCGTATAGAGTATAAGACAGCTAGAGTAAGGGTTTAACTCGAAGATAGCCTCGTACCTGCGTGTTATTATTTATATAAAACCAATACCTTATAAGATAAAGGGATTAGGTATAAGACGGGGCTTCAATAAAAAACCTAAGCCGAGGTATACTTGTTATCGACTAGTACAAGCCGGGGAGTTAGAGTGACTACAGTGGGATTTGAACCTACGCACTATTAGTATCCCATACCAATGTAAGCCAGGCGCTTGACCATTGCGCCATGCGGCCTGATATCTTTTTCCGAGGGTACAATAAAGGTGTGTGGCTTCTAGTTACAGTTTACCAGCATATATTTTGGGAAAGGTGTCACGAGGGGATATCTTGCCAGGCACAACCAGTCTATTCCTAGAGGTCAAGTCTAGACATCGACAGATGCTTGACCTTCTGTATTACAAGAAGGGAAACGGTCTATATATGTAGAGGAGAGTGTCTGATACAGGGCCGGAGCCCCTGGGGGATACGCCAGGAAGGGGTCTGTCATGACAAAAGGGGTGGCTCTCGCGGTAGGGATAGGGGCTGCGGAAGAGATAGGGGTTACGGGAAGTCATAACTAGTTATTCCGGCGAGAAGCACGCTCACTTTCAGCTTATAAATGTAACGTAGTTTAAGTGATTATGATAAGTAACAAAAAAGTAATGTTAATAACCTAGGTAATTAGGTGCTTAAGTAACGTGTTTTACGGATAAATCAAGTGCCCCTCTTATTTATGTATATTTTCCGTTTTACATACTAATTACAGTTTGCAGCTTAGTTAAAATAAATGGTAGCTAAAATCGGAAGGTACAGTTATGGATTTTATGCATAAGATATTTAAGTACACAACTTAAGCTAAGCTCAGGTTAGATTCTAGCTAAGCTCAGGCTTAAAGCAGCGTGGCTCAGGTCTGGTTGTGGCACTTAGGTGGGCATGGACACTGGGGTAGGTAGGTATTACCTACCAATTATGACTACATAGTAAATTTTTTAATTTTTTAATTTTTCAGTTTCTAGATACCCCGCGCTCCCAATAGAATACACTATCACAAGCCAGCGTCCCCAAAACCCGATACCCAAGCGGCTGAGGGCCCGTAACACGGGAATTTATATTATAGCTGTTCATTGCCCATTAGATCCCACGCCAACCCCCACCAGGAATCTACAACGATCGGAGCGAAAACGAAAACGACCTCATGGGCGACGACACGTTAGAAGCGCGCGTCCCGCCGACCTGCCCGGCCTCGGTCTCGCAGATCCTCTACCACGCGTGGCACCATGACCTCGCGGGCCTGAAGCCGCTGCTCGCGGTGCCGGGCCGCGCGAGCGTGCAGGAGCCCACCACGGGCGAGACGCCCTTGCACGCCGCGATCCGGGCCTGCGCGCCGGGCAACCGCGAAAAGGGCGAGGGCGAGGATGAAGCCGCCGCGGAGCAGGCCGCGAAGGCCGTGGTCCGGGAGTTGTTCCTCCGCGGCGCCATCTGGAACGACGTCGACAGCAACGACGAGACGCCCGGGTGCGTGGCGGCGCGGCTGGGGCTGAAGGAGCTGTACGCGCAGTGCGTGGACGCGGGCGCGCGGGCCGAGATGCTTTTTGGGCTCCTGGACGGGTACGAGGAGCTCGAGTCTAACGACGGTGGCGACGGCGACGAGGGAGATAAAGAAGATGCCGACGAAGCGGGAGAAGCCCAGGAGAGCGCCCCCGCCGAGACAGCGGCCGAAGATGACATCGAGATCTTATTCGACAACACGCGGGCCTTCCAACCGCCCCGATCCCGACCCGCCACCCTCACCGCCACCGACGACGACCCGGACGTCAAGAGCGAAGCCTACCTGCGCTCGGACCTGACCTACAGCGACGGCAAGCTCGTCGACTCCTCCCACAACGGCGTGATGATGGCGTGGGAGACGAGCATCATGCGTGCGTCGGTCGCCGCCCTGCTTCCCGGCCTGGCCGCCGCCCGGCGCGTCCTGAACATCGGGTTTGGCATGGGCATCATCGACGCCATGTTCGCCGAGACGCAACCCTCGCGGCACCACATCGTCGAGGCGCACCCCGCCGTGCTCGAGCACATCAACAATGCGCCCGACTCTAAGTTCAGTAAGGTCTGGGAGGCCGGCAGCCCCAGTGAAGGCGCTTACAAGGTCCACGCCGGCAAGTGGCAGGATGTCGTTCCCAAGCTGCTGGAGCAAGGCGAGACCTTCGATGCTATCTACTTCGACACCTTTGGCGAGGACTATGGGCAGCTACGCATGTTCTTCACCGAATATGTGCCGGCCCTACTCGAGGAGAATGGCGTATTTAGCTTCTTTAATGGGTTGGGGGCCGACCGGAAGGTCTGTTATGATGTCTACACGAAGGTCGTGGAGATGCATCTTAGTGATGCAGGGATGGACGTTGATTGGCAAGTATTAGATGTCAATATGAATGGCCTAGAGGAAGAAGGTAAAGGCGAATGGCAAGGAGTCAAGAGGCGATATTGGACACTGGACAGTAGGTTTACCCTAAATGTGGCAAAATTTCTTTTTTTTTCTTGGTTTTGGTGTTGCTAACCTCCAAATAGAGTATTGGCTTCCTATCTGCACTATGATGAGATAATAAGGCGATAGCAACACGCCTTAACTAAACCACCAAGGACGAGTAGGCAGCGATCATGTGTACCCCGGGGTTTTGTGGCAACCATCTCTATGTCTATTCCCTCCAGTGGATATGCCATGGCTTTTGTCTAGGTGTCTGGCCCACCGCGTTCCATTCTTCGGTCATTTGCCCCTCTATTTGAAGTTCTCAGGGTGCAAAATACCTGCGAGGTTGCCCTTCTCTACTCGCTTGAGAGTCAGCGCAGCAATCAGAGCGGCTCCGACACCACTTCCGTCTTCGGCTGCCAGAATTTCTATAGGATCTTCTTCTTTGTTGTTCTTCTTGGCTGGCCAGTCAAGGATCTCCCGTAGAGCCTGGGCGCCCCGTGCTTTGAAGTGCGGGTACTTGTTGAAGACAGAACCATCAGCGCCGACATGGCATGGCTGCAGGTTCTTCTTCAGGCAGATGGCTGCAACCCCACATGACGAAAGGCGAGCAGCGCGTGTGCCAATCAGCTCCGCAGCCCGGCGGATGAGCTCGAGCTCGGGTTGGGTACAGGACAGGTGGAGCTTATCCTTGAAAAGGTCTGCGGTTTCCTGCAAGTTCTCGAAGGGGTCACTAAGAGAAGTCAGTACAATACAGGGCCAATATATGGGGGGATGGCTTCCTCGATACTTACTCTTCGATAGCTGACAAGAAAGATGAGTCGAGAGTATACGGTTTGCGCAAGTACTTGATATCTTGGCCCTCAAATATATGGATGTCCTTGTTGTCGTGGAGATCGACCATGATCAAACGAAAGATCTCACCGAGATACAGACCCGCAATGCACTTTTCAAAAGCTTGCTGGCCTGGTCGCGGAGATTGCTTGTCGATGATGACGTCGTAATGCGTTCGCGGGAGCACCTTGTGTTCATTATCGAAAGCACCCCACTCGCAGTTAATAGCCATGGGCAAGTCGGCAGGCAAGTTCATGTGAGCCAGCTTGGGTATGGAGCCACAGTTCTCCATGTACGCAGCATTACAGCCAGTGCCGAAAATACAGCCGATCTTCATCTTAGGATCGGTGTAGGCAGAGGCAATGAGTGTACCAGTGGTATCGTTGATCAAGGCAGACAGTTTGATCGGAACACCCTAGACATATGTCAATATCCATGTCCTCCGGTAGACATTGCTGTAACCTACTCTCTGTTCTATAGCAGCCTCCAGCATGGGGACAACGTTCTTGCCCTCAACACCATTGATGTCGAAACCCTTCGTCCATCGCTGTAGCACACCCTCGTCGATGTAGTTTTGTGTGGCAGGATACGAGAAGGTGAAACCAAGAGGGATTTTGCCCTCGGTCGGTGCATCGCCATGATGAGTTTCAATGAACTGCTGTAAGCAATCTGCAATGTACTCCCAAAGCTCGTCGGACTCGCCGGTCTTCAACTCCTCAGGCATGCGGTACTTGGACTGGATGATATCGAACTCTGACTTGTTATCCGTCAGGGTAATCTCACAAACACGCAGATTGGTGCCACCCATATCCAAAGCCAGGTATGTGCCTGTCTCATATCCATCCGGAAATTCCATAACCCAAGTTGGGTTCATGGGCTGTAAGATCCCAGGGTCAGTAATGCTGCTCAACGCTGGGCATAGTCTCGTCTCAGAAACTTACAATACTCCCCCCTTCGACACTTAACCCTGGGACATCGTCAGTATGTCAACTACCGCGAGGGATTATGATAGTTTACCCTTTTCAAGCTCCGATACAAAGTGTTTGGTAATTTGCTTCAACTTGGCAGTATCGACCGAGAAGAGCTCTTCCAGTTTCTTAATCTCTGCCAGGAGATCTTTGGGCACATCTGCCATAGATCCTGTATAAATGTGTACGTCAGCACATCAGAATAAGCAGCCTAAGAAATGTGGTATGAACCCTTTTTTGAGTTGCACATATCGGATAGGTGATGGTGATGGTAAGTATGGCGTCTTGTAGTATCAGCCCAAGCTGACGACCGCTGCCCGGACACCATCCTGACTCTTAGGTTCGACACGAAAGGGTTATAGGAAACACAATCTAACTAGACAGAGCTAAAAGAATCTCGATAGGCGAGGAGATAGGATATACAAGAAGAATGAGAAGGCATGCAATTCTATATATGTGTCCAGAACCGAACTTGACTGAGGTTGCATAATGATGAGTGTAAACACCGGCTCCTTTCGATAGAGGTGCTTGATAGACGGCTTCCCCTTTTCATAGAATGAGCTCTCAAGGAATAAGCCGTTGCACGGGAAAGAGCCGTGCTCGTCTATTAGATTGGGCAACACATGCCAATGTACACATGGTTACAGAGGCTTTTCGAGAAGGAGTGTGCGACTGTATCTCCCTCCTGACCACGTTTGCCTAACCTAGCTGTGTTTGTTGGGCCGTACTGTACAACTCATTGCTCAAAATATCTCATGGAAGTTCCCGATTGAGTTTCCGCATGGCCATCCACCTCATACAAGGCTGTCTGAAGGAATAGCTGAAGTAAAAAATTGTATACGTACCCTTCCGGGATGGCGGCTTCCGTGGACCAAGGCCAACCATTTTGACAAGTGTGAAGAGTCCTTATTCAACTAGTGAGGCAAGGTAGAGTAAGATAAGGTGTCAAGTGGCGGAGAGAAGCGATATGTGAGGAAGCACGAGGTTGAGCG